TATATGAGTGCTCAGTTTGGTTATTTGGTTAGACAGTGAAAATTTAATATCTGATTAATCTACTACATATTCACTTACTCAGATCCAACTTAAAAAATATGGAATTTTGTATAGTGTTTGCGTGAATGTAATGAAACATTATTGTGAAATTGTTCATGATAATGATTCCTGATAATCTTGCAGACATTATAGAATATTGTTACACTTCTATATATAACATTATAAACCTATATATTTAGTATCTGAAACTTAAAACCATCATACACATTAATAGGAATTTACAAAATATTTACTCTATAAAAAATAGGAAAATAATGTTCATGATAAAGATTTGTGATATTATTGCAAACATTATATTTAAACAAGACTAGATTTTGATACGGGTTTTCAAAGCCGAGTTTGTTTCATGTGACATATTTATTATTATAACAAATGTTTTTATACATAAAATGTATATCAAGTGTCTTAATAATTTCTGTTAGCAGTTGTATTTTTATGTTTACTTTGATTTTTTTTCTATACAAAATATTAATATTGTGAAATAATTAATTTGTTATTGAAAACTACAGTAAGAAATTAAATGTTAAATAAAACATAGGTATTATAATAACTTCACTATATTTGGTATAGTTTTTTGGACAACAGGTTTTTGATGGTGTTAATAAGGTTTGAATGGAGTGAGGCTTTGAATAGAGTTTTAGGGTATAGGGTTAGAACACAAATGAATTTCGATGGATAGTAAACATACACGAATTGAGATTAAAAATTTGATGGATAAATTGTTTAAATTGTTGACCTATTTTGTTTAGTTGGATAGAACCATACTACTTTCTAATTTGTTGGGCTTTTTCGAAAACCATTTAAAATATTCAAAAAGGTAATGAGAATTTTTGTAATTAATTGAAAAAGTTAAGGACATAATTCTAAGAATGATTCTACTTTAATAGTATAGATATTATTACACTTGTATATATAACATTGTAAACCTATATATTTAGTATCTGAAACTGAAAAACGTTATACATCTGTATACGAATTTACAAAATATGTACTCTATAAAAATAGGGAAAATTATTTTTTAGGCTAAAAAAATACTAACATTGTCCTACTAGGCTAATCTCACATACTAATTTTCTCATTAGGCAAAATATTTTCAAAATACCAATAATGTCCTTTAAAATTGATTGATAAATTCGAATTATAATTATAAAATAATTATAATATATTTTTGAAAATATCATAATTAAAATAATTATAATTAAAATAAAAAAGTATAAGCAATAAAAAACCCAAAATCCATTGGAAAATATATATTAAAGGGAATATATAAATTATTTTGAAAATATTGTTTCCCCTATTTTCGCAACTGTTCATAATTATCCGTAGAATCCGTATTCTATTATAGGTTGAACACAATGAACTTTTTTGAAATCAACTTCGATATTTTTTAGATTAAAAAGTAATGTGTAGAGTACATATTCAAAATGTTTTAGATCGATATGTTAAGGGTATTTGGTTTGGATTTTCGGTTATAGTTTTGGATTTTGAGTAAAATTTCAAGATTTTTAAAAAAATATTTTGAGTATTAAAATAAAATTTTGAGTAATCGGATCATATTTCGCGTAAACGTTTCGGTATTTTTGGGTATTTAATTTTTTTTTCGTTACCTGTTTAGGTTTTGGTATTTTTACTTGTTAATAATGCAAAAGTGGCAGAGCCCTCTGGAAGGCCCAGCAGTGATTGCAGTAATAATAGTCTGGCTTTTATAAAAACTGTTTGATTAGGAAGTTGAACGTTGTTTTAAACCAAAATTAGTTTATGTGTTTGGTGTAAGTTTGTTTTTGTTATTGACAATTTATTGGTGTAAGTTTATCTTAAATTTTATATTACTGAGCTCGCCCTAATTATACTTAAAACTGGATGGATGATCCACATCCATCTTTCCAAATATGTTTATATCGTGATATTTTACATCAATTTTCAGTAAAATAACTTGATCAATCATTTTTAAAACAAGGACATAATTCATTTTAATTCAACCCAGCAATAATTTATTTGTTAACTCCAAGCCAACCCAGCAATAAATTAAACCACTTGTTTCCAAGTTTAAGTTTCTGCTGGAAAATAATTTATTTTACAAATATTATCCAGAGATGTGTTTTTAGGCTATTATGTCTTTGTTTTTGTTTAAAAGACGAATAAGAGACTAAGCCACTAAATCTATTATATTAAAATAGAAGTCACAAATTTACTTCATGTGTGATTTTTTAAAATTTGGACAAATTTCTAGAAAATATCAAATTTTACATAAGTTCATTATTATATCTTTTAATATCTTTATATTTTTAGATCTCATCATTTTATTTGAAATACAAATGAATATATTTAAAATGTTCATAATAATCTTTTAAAAATTCTATAGAATCTTTATAAATTTAGTTTCAAAAATTAGTTATTCTTACTTTAAATTATCATAAAATATAATTAGAAATTAAAATTAAAATTGAATTTAGTTTTGGTTTATAAAAGAATATTAAAATTAAATATTTTTGATTATATGCACTCATAATAAAAATGGAATTGATTAATTTTAAAATAAAATTTACTAATAATTATAAAATATTTGTTACAATTATATATTTATTCTGTTTTAATTTATATATATATATATATGCTATTAAAATAAAATTCATGATTTTTTATGTGTGATATTTTTATTTAGACCATCATTTATTTATTTTATTAAATGTATATCCTTAATGCCAATAATATAAAATATTTTAACTACTTTAATCATAACATCTTTTGTTATTTTCAATTTAAAAGAATATATATATATATATATATATATAAATTCTACAAATCTGTTGAAAGATTATAACAAGATCTTAACTGTCGAAAATTGAACATAAATATTTTCACTAATTTCATAATTAGTCATGAAATGTTATTATACATTAATATATATTGAGCTATATTTTATAAAAAGAAAATAATAAAATTATATCCTATTTTATATATTTTATAATATTATCTATCATTTTAAAAGAAAACCATTATATTGAACTAAATATGATAAAAAAATTCAAATTCATAAATTAATTTTATGTTAATAAATATAAAATATTTATTCTAAAAATATAATAGGTTGTTATAATGGGTTAACATTCGTAAACTATATAATTCATATATAAAAGTCAATTTATCTAAACTTTTTATATATAGTAATATAATATATAAAATGAATAAATATAAAACATTGCTATTCTAACGTTTTAAATTACAGGTTACGATTATAATAAATTATAAATAAAATAATTGTAAATATGTTGTTTCATACATAAGAAATTGGTTTATTAATCAAACGCGAATTCAATAAGAAAAATAGATAATATGAAAAACATATATATGTGATGATTTGAATTGGCAGCATTAAAACTATAAAATTATTGTATTTGAAATAATTATACAAACATTTAAATATGTGAGTAACATTAATAATATATATTTTGTCCTGTAAAATAAATATTATATAAACTTGAAAATATATACCCACACGGTTGTATGAGTCAAAATCTAGTTAACTTGTTAAAAGAAAACTAATTGTATTTACACGAAGGACTATTGTTGTTGACACAAACATTTGGACCTAGTATTTATATGAGTGCTCAGTTTGATTATTTGGTTAGACAGTGAAAATTTAATATTTGATTAATCTACTACAAATATTCACTTACTCATTTCCAACTTAAAAAAATATGGAATGTTGTATAGTGTTTGCGTGAATGTAATGAAACATTACTGTGAAATTGTTCATGATAATGATTCGTGATATTCTTGCAGATATTATAGAATATTGTTACACTTCTATATATAACATTATAAACCTATATATTTGGTATCTGAAACTTAAAAAACGTCATACACATTAATAGGAATTTATAACCAAGTTGCTTTGGTTTAATGGTAAATGAGTTCTAGTTGGAGTATCCGTCTCTGGATTCAAGTCTTGGACATTGGGAATTTACATATAGGCTTCAACATCCGAGATCGAAAACCGTTACACTGTGAACCATCTGGTGACCTTCGGGTCCATACTCACTTCGGTCACTAATCTGGACCACCTCAGTGGAACTAAAAAGAATTTATAAAATATCTACTCTATAAAAAAACTATAGAAGGTATAAATCAAACCGAGTATATGCAACTTGGCAAGAACAGAGAATCTCCGTAAAGCATCATCTAGTCGCATATGACATTCGGTTCTAGAAAACTGGCAAAGTCAAAGGGTGCGTAAAATGCTAATTGTTATATAAACACACGAGCATTCCAAGCTCTCCAAATCTTTGCTGGGCCTTTTTTTCAGTTCTAATACATACTGAAGAAATAGGGTTGAATCGAGTGAATATCTTTTTGATGCAATCGAATTGTTGGGATGTTAGTAATTACTTCATAAAAATTTGCAAAAAACAGCATATTCCAACTAACTGATGATACTAGTTCTAGTTGTGTATTAATTTGACAAATGTTAACTCGATTACATGCTAAATTCTACCACTAATTAAGAAGAAGACTTGTAGTGTACTTGTGGCAGAGAAGAAAAGCTAATATATAGGAAGTTTCCGGCATTCATATCGATGTGTAATCATAATATCCCCACATTTTTACATAACATCTCCATCCATCTTTTAATCCATTGACTTATAATCTAAATATGGTTCAAAATACGTATCCACCATTTCAAATTTTCAAACCTCTTTTTTTCTCGTGCAATAAGTTTTTTTTGGTGACTTTTTTTTGTTTATATTAATTGCTTCACAAAAAGGATCTTTTATTATTTTGAAAAATATACTACGTCATAAACGTGACATCACTCGGCCTTATTGACTTTTGAATATTCTATCTTTTTATAAATTTTTTTTTATCTTTTAATTCTCTTCAACACATCTATATATATAGATATATACGTGAATAGAGCATATTATACACACACACAAAAAAAGAAAGAAGAAAATGTCGCAGCCTATTGTGTGCGCTAACCCTTCGGCTCCTCCGCGCCCACAAGGTGGTAGCGGCGCCAGAGTGATCGTGGCTCCAAAATTCTGTGCTCCGTACCCCGTGGATCTGAAGTTTACGAAGTCAATGGATGGTAACTTCATTATCAAGGACGGTGAGGGGAACGTGTTGTTCAAGATGTCGACGCCGATCCGTGGTCTTATGACTTTTCACGTCAAGAGGATCATATGGGATACTTCTGGAACTCCGGTCTTGACTTTGAGACGGAAGGTCCGTACACTCATAAAAACACACACACACACGCAACTTAATTAAGAGTTCGTATGTACTACGTATAACTAAATTAATTTTATTGTAGAACATGAGCATGCATGACAGGTGGCAAGTATTTAGCGGAAAGAGTTCGAAGCAGCGTGATCTGCTGTACACGGTGAAGAGAACGTCAATGGTGCAGTTGAGCGCCAAACTTGAGGTGTTTTTGGCTCACAATACGGAAGAGGAGATATGCGATTTCATAATCGTAGGGACATGGAGCGATCGCTCTTGTGCTGTCTACTCCAGTGAATCTCCTGACCCTATCGCCGAAGTAATCTCTCTTAAAACAAATGATGCTTATATGTAATTTGGTAGTGTGACCGACCATGTGTGTTAAGAATAAACGTGCCTTGAATAGTGGGTTGGTTAGTGATTAAATCGAATGGGTTGAATATAACAGATGCGCCAGAAGCGCAGGGTGATGAGTGTTCTCTTTGGAACCCACAATTACATAGTGAGGGTTCACCCAAATGCCGATTATGCCTTCATTGCCTCTCTCGTCCTCATTCTCGATTACATCCTCTGGACTGCTATCGATACGATGCACTTTGCTACAATGGTGGCGCTGCATCATGTGACTCCAGGTGTCCCAACGCTTACGTCTATAGTTATTCCCGCTATCATCCCTGAATGAAGACCTCGTTTCACTCCTCTCGTCATAAAGGTTATATCAAGAAATCTTACACTCCCTCAGTTTAATATTAAGTGTCGTTTTAGAGAAAAAAATTATTTACAAAATAAGTGTCGTTTTCGGTTTTAAATACAAAATTTATTAATTTTATTATGCAATTTATTTTTTCTATTGGTTGAAATTAATATAGTTAGGTGTATAGATACTTGTGCTTTTATATAGAAAATATATAAAATTAATTGTTTCCTTAATCTCTATGCACAAATCTAAAACGACACTTAATATGAAACAGAGGAAGTATTTAATTTTCCCATTTTATTCTCTTTTATAGTATCCTCAATATCTGACTATTTCATTTTTGCAGGAGCAATCGTTTCAAGGGTACAAGTGAAATCTTTTCAGAGGTTTCCTTATTTCGAGCAAGTCTCCCTTTGTAACGTTTCTATCTTTTATATTGTCATTAAGATCGGTTCGTACTACGCGCGGATATGCTTTATATGTGATATATGTAACTATATTATTGTATAGTTTATATTGTATGTATTTTATGTTAGCATTTGTAAGTGAAGTGTATAACAATATTTATGGTTTTTAAGAATTGAGTGTGAAGGATTATTATATGTTAATATATATTATGTTTGCTTTCGATTGGTGTGTCTATATTAAAAGGTTGTTATAACATTGGGATAGATGTGTTGTACTTGGTTTTCTATTTATGTGTGTTTTTACAATTCTGATTCCAAAATTGATTGTCTAAATGTCGTTTGTTATATTTTGGCTCTAATATTAAGTTTGTGGGTCTTAATCATATCATTTGTATGAATATGCTTGGGGTGTAGATGATTGCGTTTTGTATGGTGCGTTTCTCATCGCGCAGAGATGTGTTGTCTTTGTATATATGTAATGATTATTATATGGATGATGTCCACGAAAGAACTATTTACATGGGTTGAACGATTTGGTTAGTTTGTTTGTATAAAATTATATAAAAGAACACTTATTATGAAATAGAGGGAGTATTACAAGAAAAAAGTATTCACAGTATCCATAATTTGCCATGTTGGGACTTTGTCTCCGGAGATTGAATATTTGTCGCCTCGTTTACTTCAGTCATTTCCCACCAATGTATTAAACTTTTTTTTTCGACATTAAACTTTGCATGATGTTTTGCTAAGGAAAGTTCAGTGTACAAAAAGAAGAAAGTACAGTGTGAAAAAAATATCCACACCAGCAACAATAAAATAGTAAATAATAAAACTTATACATACTATATTAGATCATGATGTGTTAAAAAGGTCTTTGAAAAAGATTAATGTTTTTCACTGCCTGTTTTCTCAAGACTAAATCTAACGGGGTTGACATTAACAAACCCTCTCAACTACACCTACCCTATCTAAATCCTCATTCCCCATAGACTCCAATGCTCTTTAAGAAACCATCCACACTTATAAAGCTCACTGTTGAACATACTAAAAGACCTTTCATTATACATAACAACTCCATATTTCTTAATCCAGTGACTTATGTAATCTAAAGATGGATCAAAATAATTATCCACCATTTCAAACCTCTTTTTTCTTGTGCAATAATTTTTTTTGTACCTCCTTTGTTTATATTTCTTCATAAAAATGATTACTATTATTATTATTATTATTATTATTATTATTATTATTATTATTATTATTATTATTTCCAACTTATGCAATTTTTAGAATAAAAAGACTCAGCCATTCACATCAATCTGGATTGCTAAATTAAAACATTTATAAACGAAAAGATAGAATAAAATGTTATAAACAAAAATGTCCAATAAGCAGTCATGAATATGAAGTTATAATAAAACAATTATAAATGAAAAGATACCACAAAGGGTTGTAAAGAAAAATGTATAATAAACAGTTTTGAACAAAAAAATATTGAAAAGCCACAACTTTTCAACATTAAATGGAACTGTTATTATTAATAGATTATTAAGAAAAATAAACTACATTTTGCGATAATATTAGAGTTATATTAAGATTTTTAGATTATATGAGAATACAAAATTGGCGTTAACCAAGTAGGAGGATAAACTCTAGAATTAATAAAAATACTAGATTTTTTACCGCGAAATTATTTTCTGTTGACATATCCAAACCTAAACAACAAATTTTACATGATTTATATATTCTAACTATCATTTATTTATATTTAGTTTGACATAGTTTTTAGATCTTAGATAAGTTAACATTTTGACTTTGGAATTAAATTTTGGTAAGAGCTATATAAATTAAATGTTTAGTTATATTAGAGCATCATTAATGGTCATTTTTGGAAAGCGTACTTCACAAAATAAAATAATAAAATAAGTAATAGTAAAAAAGAGAAGAAGAAAAATATCACATACGTTTGTGTTGTTCATAAGGAGACCCTGAGCAAACAGTAAAAAGAAAATTCCACATCTGTCACTTTTCAATTTGTGTAATTCTTTTTCAATTATTAAATTAAATCAAATAAATAAATTGTGTTAAAATATTAACACCCTGAGAAATTCACCAATGTTGCTGCTCTTAGGGTTTAAATTGTATTATAATGCAAAATATTATTTAAAATATAATGTTGTTCTATATCAATATATAAATGTTAGATGATTTTTTTACATTTAAAATAAATTAAGCAAGTTATAATATGGCTATATATGTAATATATAGTTAATAATTTTTCTTTTACATTTTTAAATGTATCCTCGTGAAATATTCGAAAATGGTATATTTGATATGAAAGACTAAATAATGTGACTACATATGTACCAAAATGATGTGACTATATACTATTTTTATGATTAACGTGACTATATACTATTTGATATGAAAGACAAAATAATGTGACTATATATGTACCAAAATAATGTGACTATATACTATTTTCCGGTAACATGATCTTCTAACTCTTTGACTGACTTATCTCGCTAATCCCTGATCAGCATTTCCAATTCATCAGTCATTACAATTAATCATTTGGTTAACATACAAAACCAAATAAAATTAAAAGTCACAGCTTAGATTTCTACCTTGTGTAGTACATAAATTAAATTAAACACCGATGTCAAATGATACGAAAAAAAATTGTCACATTGCTTCAAACAAACACACATGTCTAATAAATTTTCAGGGAGAGGAGAATTCATCGAAAGGTTTGACTTTGGTCTCACCATCCACTGAAAATTATACAACGTTTCTGTTTTCTTTCTCAAAAGCCTCCGGAAACTACACAAATAATCAAAATATTCATAATTGTTTACGCATCAAACATTGTAAAACATAATAATCCATTAGCAGACAATTTAATAAATAGGAAAATATATGATAGAATAAGAATGCATACTTGATTAGAGTCTCATCAAAAGGAACTCATAGATAATTCAATTTACAACACAGAACCTCCTATAACTTAAGACATACTGTTTTGAACCAGATTTACTTAAAGCATGCATAGTCAAACGGAAGCTGCAAAAGAAATATTTAGACTGAGTCTGCTATGGCAAATAAATTCTTCCGACAAAAATTAAGAAGAAACAGGGTGTCATCTTTTCTACATCATAATTTCTACTGACAACAACATATTCTTAATCTGAGTGAGCTAAGAGAAAAGGCTCCACACTGATATTTATCCAATGTTCATAATTGATCTTGGTTCTTCCTAATAAGGAAAAAACAAAAAATATTTAGTGAGAAAACCAAATAATGTGATAATTTAATCCAATTAGAAAACAAACTAATTCTGTTAACTACTTGTTTGCATTCAAAATTTCTCGTCGTACTACTTTTAAAATTTTATAAAGACTCAATTGTTTTATTGAAAAACTGCAATTCTCAGTAAAAATCTGAAAACATGTAAAGAACAAAAAAACAAAGGTTATTATTTATCCCCAAATGTTGATATTTTAGCGATGCATTGATAAACACCATTATTTCGTGACTTTAAATTGTCTGAGCAATGCCATTATCTTGTTGATCATAAACCTACACATGTTAAACTTATTTTGTGGAAGCCAAAATTAAAAACATATCAAAGACTAAAAACATATGAAAGCTTAAAAATAAAGGTACAAACGAACTAATAAGATGATGCAATCTTATATAATGGCTAATACAGACGCACGCCGCTAGTTTAGATCTATTTTGGTGGGTGTCAGAATACATCAGGTTATTCAAAAAAAAAAGATGCGTCGTTGGGATTGTTACATAAATTTTCGGCAATAAAAATTTCTTTTATTTTGGAAACTAAAGTAAAATTTCAAAAAATATTCTCCGTTTAGTAAGTAAGATTTTTTCTTTTTGATTTATTTATTAAAGTTAAACGCGAGTTCAATATTATATGTAGAAAATGGAAAAAGAGAATATGCCGGATATTTAATAAAGGAAAGTATGTAAGATTGATTGATTTCAATTAGTTAAGAATATAATTCATAAATATACAATGGTATGGTATTGTAGTTATCAAAAAAATCAAAAGTAAAATTAAGAATTCTGTTTTAATAGTATAGATATTACTATATTGAGATGTACAATATGCATCTTAAAAATCCGTGATACATTAATAATGATGTATACAAACGGTTGTCTAATTTTGACTCTTCAACTCGACAAAGATAGATGCAGGAGCCGGAGTCTTACATTGGCTCCAAAGTGTTACATTTTCTTATGTGTTTCAAGACTTCTTTCAGCTAGTGTTAATCAGCTCAACATCCATTGCTCAATTTATAGTTGTTCAATTAATATCTTCATCCTCCTAGAATAAAAGCCTAATTAAATCATAATCAAATTCGTCATTCTTCTTAAACATAAATCTAAACCAAAACTAAAATTTCATACTGTGGTCGCCCTAATTATACTTGAAAACGAGTTATTCTTGGGTTCATCTTCTAGGATGAATTTCTAGGTTCACCATCCAATAAAATTACATTATTTCATATTTGATATCTTTTAGAAAAAGAAACAAAATCTTGTTAAGTTATTTTCTGTTTTTAAAAATAAAAATACAAAAATATATAAAATAATAATAATAATAAAAACGAAAATATATTTTTTAAGAAAGTAAACACTAAACCATAAACTCTAATCCTAAACCCTAATCTCGTGGGTAAATCATAAACCTTTGGATAATTTTTATAAAAAAGTTCTTTAAGAAAAATATTTTTACACTAAAACACTAAACCCTAAACTCTAATCCTAAACCCTAAACCTTTGGGTAAATCATAAACACTAAACCCTAAACTCTAATCCTAAACCCTTTAGTAAATCATAAACATAAACCTTTGGATATCTATATTCGATATAGTTGTAACAGTTATCTGAAAGAAAAAAAGAATGAAAAATCAAAAATATTCTTAAAGCAATAATTTTTTCGTACAGTTAAACTAAATAAGTTATTATTAAAAAATATGCTTTTACAGCTGTTTTTTTTTATTTTATTTTTTGGTTGTAACTTTAAAAAGTAGTTAAATAGTATGATTATAAATTTTATGGTTATATATTAAAATGAAAGTTTAAACTTTTTTTACCTATTCACTTTGATGATAAAACTTGAACAAAAACTAGCGATCCAAACCAAATTCGAGCAAAAAAAAAGTTTATCTTGTATCTAAAATCCGAACGGTAGACTCAAAATTTCGAAATAGTAATTGAAATAAAATTTTCTAAGCCAATGTTCTTCTTTTTTTTTTTTTACGTTGATATTAACACTCTGAATCAGACGAAGGGACTCCGTTAACAGAAAAAGATCGTAACCGTTAATAGAACTCCTCCTTGTCATCTTCTCAGCCGCTAGATTTCATCATCAAAATCCCATAAAAACTCAAAAAAAAACTTTTCAAAACATGTCAAGAAACAAACGAACACGACGAGCTCCTCCTTCCTTCCTTCAAGATTTGGATTCTAATCGTAACCATTAGAAAATGGATTCTCGTGAGAAGAAGCATGAGTCGCAAGAAGAAGACTTGCCTTCTCAGCCTCAGACTCCTCCGTCACGTTTAACGGAAGTCACGCCGTCACAGAACCTTCTTCAAGTTCATAGGTAATCTTTTGCTTTAGAGAGTTAGTTAGGGACAGTGACAACAAAAAAAGGAGAGTTATATTTAGGGTTTCTTGATTTTGTTTATGCAGAAATCAAGAAGCTGAGGCTAAGGATGTTGTTGTTACTCCGAGTAAACAGAGACGTTGTAGCTGTAAAGCTTCAAGATGCTTGAAACTGTAAGCTTTTGTATATTAAAGATTTGTGGTGGTGATGAGATGTGTCAATGCCTTATGTGACTTGAAGGTTGGTGTAATCTGTGTGTATTAGGTATTGTGAATGCTTTGTGGCGGTATCGTATTGCAATAATGGTTGCAACTGTTTGAATTGTCACAACAATTTGGCGTATGAGACCACCTCTAGACAAGAAGCCATCAAGGCGATTTTGGAGTGTAATCCTGATGCCTTCAAGCCCAAGATTTCTAGTAGTAGTCCTCATGGAATCAATGATTTTCAGGTGTGTGATCTTGCTGCTACTCAAAATACTACTTATAAAGCCTTTGTTTTGTCCCCAAAAGTATTTAACCTTCTACTTAGCTACAATTAGTTAGGAGATGGACACAAAATTATGCATTTGAAAGTGATTTCCCTGTTACAAATTGTTATAAACTTTGTTTAGCCTTTAATAAGCCTAAGAAAGAAAATGTTAAGAGACGATTTTGATATATTCATTTTATAATCTTATCCTTGACTTGTAGGAGGATGTGAGGCAACGCCAGATACTGGGAAAGCACAACAGAGGGTGCCACTGCAAGAGATCAGGATGTCTTAGGAAGTATTGCGAGTGTTACCAGGCGAATATTCGGTGTTCAGAGAACTGTAGATGTCGAGATTGCAACAACTTTGAAGGAATTAGCCAAGAGATAATGCAACAGACGAGAATCAATGCAGCTGTCAACATGTCAATAAAGAGAAAGAGAAAGGCAGCTTCTTCACATTCCGTAGCAGCTAGAGATTCATCTGCGGTTCCACACCTTGTCCAAAATAATCATACGGTAAATATTATTATACAATTAGCAAAAAAAAAAAAAAAAAAATAATACTCCCTCCGTTTCAAAATATATGTCATTCTAAATTTATTTTTTTTGTCACAAATTAAGTGTCGTTTTAAAGTTTCGAGAGAAAATTTATTAGTTTTCTATAATATTCTATTTTTTCTATTGGTTGAAAAATGGTTAGGTGTATAGGTAATTGTGTTTTTATCTTGAAAATATGTAAAATTAAATATTTACTTAATCTGTGTGCAAAAACCTAGAATGACAAATAAAGTGAAACGGAGGGAGTAATATTATTATACATTTTTTTTTTTGCCAAATCATGCACCCCTTTGTGTTTAATGTGCTCAATATTTTTTTTATAAAACGATTTGTAGGAGGGACTCCAGATACTTGGAAAGCACAACAGAGGGTGCAACTGCAAGAGATCAGGATGTCGTAAGAACTACTGCCACTGTTTTCAGACCAATGTCCGTTGTTCAGACAAGTGTAGATGTCGAGATTGCAACAACTTTGAAGGAAGGACCAATCCACCAGTAAAAGTCGCCATCGGCATGTCTTCTTCACATTCCCTAGCACCTAGAGTTTCATCTTCGGTTCCACAACACCAGACGGTAAATATTATAGATGCCAAATAACATGATTGTTACATGTTGATGACATCCTCTTTAATTAGCGTCACTTCTTGCATTGAAAGCATAGTTTTTTTTGTGTCCCAACTAGGTTGATTACGTTGTAAGGAATGGTGACACTTGTTTATTAACAGTCCCTAACAACCAAGCGGTACCTGGATCTACCACTAGTACTTACAGGTTGGTGATATCAAATCTTTTTCATTCAAAACTACAGCGATAACATCTTACGAATTTATCTGAATGTTGACTTGTATAGGTCCTCACTGTCAAATACTATCCAGCTGGGCCATGTCAAAGAGCTATGCTCTCTTTTAGTCTCAAAATCGGTGCAAGTAGCACATTAACCTCAGAAATTTTATGTGGTTCCTATAGGTTTTATGAAATAGTGATTGAAAAAACTCTTTTACGTTCCGTATGAGCAATCTATATAATGTTTTGGATGTTTCTGCTTTTTTTTTATCTCACCACCACATACACTTGTGCCAAAAGAATTGGTTGTCTTATACAACAATACGTTTCTGCTTTTTGCTCTCACCACCACATACACTTGTGCCAAAAAATATTGATTGTCTTATACAACAATGGACATACACCAGTAGACATAGTAATGTAATAAAAAAGCAGAAGTATTCTTGTTTCTTTTCTTTTAACAAGATGTAAAGAGAATAAAAAAAAGAGCGATATGATATATGATTCCTTATGTCGACAATTACGCATATAAA